ATCTCTAGAAAAAGAATACCATCTTCAAGTTTCAACTGGTCCCATTGTGCCCAATAGTTCTTTGTCACAGAGCTTAAGCTAGACACCTTCTCCCAAGCAGAGCACAAAACATTTGCTTTTAGGAAATCAATTATTAGCTTCAAATCTTGGTCTTTCTCCTGTTCTGCTTTAATATGTATACCTGGTTCCACTTCACCATCATCATCTCCTTCAGTCACTTTGGCTTCAGCTTGATGACACCTGCCTGCAGTCATTTTTACAAGGTCTTCGGCTCAGTCCATCGGCATTTCCATGAAATTTTCCTTCCCTGTATTCAATATCATAATTATACTGGTCTATCTTTCCAATCTAACGTGCCAGTTGTCCCTCTGGGTTTTAATGCTCTTAACCAGCATAATGCAGCATGGTCTGTCCTGATGGTAAACCTGGCACCATAGAGGTAAGGATGGAAATATGTCAGACTCTTTATTATAGCAAGGAGTTCTCTCCATGTTACACAGTAGTTCCTCTCTGATTTACTCAGGACCCTACTGAGGGAGGCCACCACATTTTCGTTTTCACCCACTTTCGGAGACAACACTCCTCCAATTCCGACATTGCTAGCATCACAATCCAGTGTGTACGGCAGTGAGGGATTTGGAAGCCCTAAAAGTGGTGCTGTGGCCAATTTTTCTTTCTATGTCTTGAAAGCATGCTGGCAAGAAGCTGTCCATTCGAATTTCTGGCCTTTTGTTTTTGTTAAATCATGTAGTGGAGCAGCTATAGTTACAAAGTCCTTCACAAACTTCCGGTAATAGGTACAGAGTCCCAAGAAGCTTCTTAACTCTCCCACATTGTCTGGTGTTGGCCAATCACACACTGCTTTCATCTTGTCAGGATCAGTTCGAACATCATGCTCACTTACAATGTGACCCAAGTAAAGCACCTCTTTCTGGATCAAGTGGCATTTCTTGGGGTGGAATTTGAGGTTTGCTCCTTTCAAATGCTTGAATACTTCTTCTAGCCTGCAAACACAATGACATCATCCAGGTACACTAGGACTATCCTGCATTGTAGGCCTTCCAGTACTCTTTCCATCAGCCTCTCAAATGTTGCTGGAGCATTACTAAGCCCGAATGGCATCACACGGTATTGCCAGAGACCTTGGCCATAATTAAATGCAGTCCTAGGTTTATCTGCTTCAGCCATTTTCACTTGATGGAAACCCAACTTTAAGTCCAGAGTTGAAACCCACTTGGCTCCACTTAGGG